CACACACACACACACACACACACACACACACACACACACGGTGACTCAGCAGTAGTAATCAGTAGTAATTGCACCGCCCTTAAAGTCTACCAGATGGACTGCATTTAGTTGGTGTTTCCTCCGGTGATCCCTTTGAACTTACCTTTATGTTCCCGCCCCCCTCATGTTTTTTTTTATTTTGTTTATGCATAATGGCCTTTGCTAACAATTATTTTCTGTTAGTCTACGACCTGCTGGTGTCTCCAGACTGCCTGCCGGATTTGCTCCAAGGAAGTCTAAAGAACAAAGGTCGGAATGAAGCCTTCCTCCTCTTGTCCTTCAGGCTCCAAAATAAGGCCCCCACCTCGCTGTTTAGTGTGATCAACCCCAAAGAGAACAGCAAGTACCTGGAGCTCAGCGTGCAGGCCAAACTCAGCAAAGGTGTGTCATCATGGCAACACACGTTGTGGCATTTGCGACATCTTTGTTTTTAACCTTTTGTCATTCCCTCTCTGCATCCTAAGTGACTCTTCGGTACCAGAAGGTTGACGGCAGGTTTGGGACCACCAGTTTCAATCACGCGGCTCTGGCAGAYGGACGCGAGCATCACGTCATGCTGCACGCCAGCGGCCTCCAGCGCGGCCCCCCTCGCCTCAACATCTACGTGGACTGTAGGCTGGCTCACACTCTGAATGATCTGCCGGCCGCGTTCGGGTCCCTCCCGCCTGGCCCCAACAAGGTGGCCCTCAGGACCCTGCAGTCGAGCAGACAGGTGGATAAAAAAAAAAAAACGATTTCAGACGCAAGGTTGATTCATAACCCCGCTTTATTCTGGTATCTGTTATTCCTCTTTAAGGATGAACTGACTGACTTGAAGCTGGTCATTGAGGACACCATCGACAACGTGGCAACTCTGCAGGACTGCAGCGTGCAGCCAGATGATTCCCTGCACCTGCTGGGTGAGCAGCAGGACGTCACATGAGCTTAGTAAAAATCAGCTGGCAGGAGATATGCATCCTTTCAATATTGGAGCTTTAATTTGACTGCGATTTGACTCAGATATTCAGGGGGGCAGGGTGGTGCAGGATCAGACGAGCATGCAGGAGCTGAAGAACATGATGGCTGAGATGAAGGAGCTGCTCAACCAGCAGGTGATCTGTTGCCCCAGACCTGCAGAAAATGTCTGACATAAACACTGGAGCAAAGCAGCATAAACGCTAGGAATAAATAAATGCAAAAATTAAGATAAGGTTGGTTTTTTTTTTGGAAATGTTGGAGCATTTACAGCTTTAAGAAACCTCTATTCTTTGGAGAAATTTTGCAATAACATCTGCTTTTTGTTCTTGGAACATAAAGAAGACATTGTTCATTTTCAGGAGCTGCTTTCTTTCAAGTCATTTACTTACATAACCTCATCAGAGTGTTACTGCAGCTGTGCAAAAGTTTTACTTTTACTATGTACTATAATTTTACTTTTACTATTGAAGTCAACTAGATGGTATATACAAGCAGTACTACAAACAGAAAGCAATTTACTGATAAAATATTGTGCATTTTTTGCAGAACAGCGGTCTAGGAAGCACATTATTTTTTAATTGAAGGATCCAAAATATTCAAGAACAGAGTTGTCAGCTGGTGTAAATAATCTATTTTWTGTGGCTTTCAGGCTTTGTAGCTTTGTAAAGCTACACTGTATGATCTCTTTAGAGCAAAAATGTAATTGATAGWTAGGATTTTAGATGGGGAAGTGCGACGTTAAGCTTGTTGGATGGAAACGTTTGATTAATCTCTTTTTTATTTTTTTTTATTTTTTGCCACTTCAATAGAAAACAAAACTGAATGTTAATTTCTTAATTTCTGCATCATCAGTGGCTTTTTTATTATACTATAGTAAAGAGGAAAAAGAAAAAGTAGAATTTATCTATTTTCTTATTAATTGTAAAGTGAAAACACCACTTTTCTGCTCTTCTGAATGTAGATTAAAGAAACAAATTTCCTGAGGAATACCATTGCAGAGTGCCTGGCCTGTGGTAAGCTGCAAAAAAAAAAAAAAAAAAGCCACATTACTGACTTATAGAGCTAAGACTTTAGATCCTAAAGAGACATTTCAACATTTTTTGTTTGGCATAGATTCACCCACAGACCCTGGAGGCAGACCCACCAACCCACGTCCAGCTCCAAGTGCTGATCAGGTGGACTATAAGCCTGAACATCTGACTCTGTGCCCAGCAGGGACCTGCTTCAGACAGAACATGTGCATCCGTTCAGAGTCGGGGGGTTTCACCTGCGCCCCCTGTCCCGATGGGTACACAGGAGATGGGGTTCACTGTGATGACGTGGACGAGGTACACGATTCAACCAGTGCAGCAGCCAGTAAGTGAAGGCAGCTTTGGATAACCGTTTAACAYTTTTTTCTRTCTGAGTTTTAGTGCAAATTTAACCCCTGCTATCCTGGAGTGCGGTGTGTGAACACTGTTCCTGGTTTTCGCTGTGAGAAATGCCCCCGGGGATTCACAGGACCAGAGTTAACTGGTGTTGGAGTGTCTTATGCTAAATCAAACAAACAGGTGTGATTAGAGTTCTGCTTGATTTAGCTGTTCCCAAATAAAAGAAATCATCCAATGTGAACATTATTGATCTGGTTTTCCTCCCAGACGTGTGAAGATCTGGACGAGTGTGTGGGCCCGCCTGAGAATGGAGGCTGCACGGCCAACTCTCTCTGCTACAACACTGTGGTAAGACGGCTGGAACTGCTGCAAAGACGTTTGGATTTTACATCAGCGGTGACCGTCCTGGCTCTCCACTGCCTGCTGTCCTCGACAGGGTTCTTTCCACTGTGGAGAGTGTAAGGCTGGCTTCACAGGCGACCAGGTACGAGGCTGCCACGGCACCAGGCTCTGCCCCAACGGACAGCCCAACCCGTGTGATGTCAACGGTGTGTGCGTGGTGGAACGGGACGGCAGCCTTAGCTGTGCGGTAGGATTACACATATTCCTCCTGATGTTCTGTTACATTATTCCACATTCCATAAATTTGCTCTTTCTGACCTTTTTTCTTCTTTTTTTTTTTTGGTTGATGTCAGTGTGGTGTTGGTTGGGCTGGGGATGGTTACGTCTGTGGGAAGGACACAGATATTGATGCGTATCCTGACGTTAACCTCTTGTGCACGGACAACAAATGTAATAAGGTACTCAATTATACGTCCACTTGGTTCTCTGGATGGTGTTCACATATGGCTTTTTCTTTGCATGATAGAGCTTGAACCAGCATATGTGGATGCCTGGCAATGGTTTGTGGAAGTGTCCCTGAGCCCTTGCAGTGATATTGATCTTTGTTTTTTTTTATACACACTCTAAAAATGAAATGTTGGATTTACTTAACCATGTCATGTTACCTGGTTCCACTTAAATGAGTTGAGTAAATTCAAAGCAACATACTCATGTTCTTTGGTTAAAAAACTGG